GCGGGAATCAGTCAAACTCTTTTCCATGTCAGATGACGATTTTGTCTTGTAAGGTTAGCTTCTGAATTTCCTTTAGTTCTTTAAAAGAGGAAAGATCAAATCCCTTACACTGTATATATAATTACAAGACAAAAGAATTTCTTAAGATCATAATTATTTCCTCTTTTAAAGGAGTCCATTTTGATGAACTGTTCATATTCCACTAACCTTTTCAAAAATTCAATAATTTTTATATATTTTAGAATAATTGATTTTGAACAATTCGACAAAAAAGTAATATTATTTTAACTTTGAAGTTCATAAACCATCGGTTTTTGATATTTTGGATATACATGTATCTAAATGTAAGATTTCAATATTGTCGAAATTTATAAAGATAGATAAGTACGCATCAATATATTCTTTTGAATCAGTTTTTTTGTCATTTACAAATTGGTATAATGTTTTTACCTCATTTCGGCGACAAGGCTCAGAAAGTTTTCAAAAATCATTGTACGTCATAATTAATAAATGCTGGGTGTGAATATGTACGTAAAAATTATAAACTAGATCAACATTTTGACTTCTTTCAAAATATTTCAATAATGACCAAACTTCATTAAAGTTATTTGGATAAAGGGAAATCAAAATTATTAAAATGAAACGTCTTGGACCAAATCCCCTTACAAGGGGAGATAATTAATTTGAAAAGACAAAAATAGGGTGTGGTCATTAAAAAATCTTCTTCGTCGAAGAACCACTGGGCCAAATAACCTATTTGTCTGAACAAACTTATTGCAAGCATCCTGGGGTAGTGTAACTAAATTGTTCAAATCATCGGGGGTAGGGCGGGCCACAATGGGGAATCAAACTTTTACATAAAACTATGTCAGAAAAAATAACTTTAAAAATCTTTTCTAACTGGTCCAGAAAAGCTGAAACTATTTTGTCCTGGGGGTAGTATAGAATATCTAAATTGTTCGAACGAATTTCTAATTTGTAGGGCGGGGCCACAATGGGGAATCAAATATTACATAGAAATATATAGGAAAAATCTTTAAAAATCTTCTTCTCAAGAACCACTGGGCCAGAAAAGCTGAAACTTATATCTAATTGTAAATTCTAAATTTTTCAGATCATGACCCCCGGGGGTGGGGCGGGGCCACAATGGGGAATAAAAGTTTAACATAGAAATATATGGGAAAAATCTTTGAAAATCTTCTTCTCAAGAACCACTGGGCCAGAAAAGCTAATTTGTATCTATAGTGTAGAATTTCTAATTTGTTCAAAATTCCCCTAATTTGGCAGGGCCACAAAGGGATTGCAAGTTTTACATAAAAATATATAGGAAAAATCTTCGAAAAATCTTCTTCGTCCGAACGAATTTCCATTTGGCCAGAAGTGCTGAAATTTATTGTGGAAGAATTCTGGTATAGTGCAGATTTTAAATTGTTTTACCTGACCCTCCAGGGGTTGGGCGGGGCCGTTTTATGCAAACTTTTTAAAACTATAAGGAAACTTTTATAAAATCTTTATTTTTATACAATGCTACAGTATATTATGAAATCTTGAATGCTTTTTTTAGTAGCAAACAATATAATTCACATTTGTCACTTCTTCGTTATGATATCGTAAATGGGCCACAATGGGGATTCAAGTTTTACATAGAAATTCATTTAGAAAAATCAGACAAATATAGAGATTGGGCCAGAAATTGAAACTTACGTGAAAGCATCCTGGGGTTGTCGCCATTTTCCCATCCATTTTCATTCAAACTTTACAGCGAAATTGAACGTTTTTGGGAATCAAAGCATCCTATGGTTTAGATTTCAAATTGTCTAAAGAAGTATATGCTATAATACATGTGATAAATCTTTTAAAAAGAGATGTTTAATTTATCTCCATAATGTGTCTTCTTCATTTTATGAAAGGACTGGACCAACGTACTTGGTGTTCGTCAAACACATAAACATTTTTTTAAAAAATTATATATGGATCTTTATTTTATTGTTTTACTTGCATATGCCATCTCAAGTTAATTTTGCCATACAACAGCACTTTTATTTTCATTGTGGAATCAGTAAAACTCTTTTCCATGTCAGATGACGATTTTGTCTTGTAAGGTTAGCTTCTGAATTTCCTTTAGTTCTTTAAAAGAGACAAAGATCAAATCCCTTACACTGTATATATAATTACAAGACAAAAGAATTTCTTAAGATCATAATTATTTCCTCTTTTAAAGGAGTCCATTTTGATGAACTGTTCCATATTCCACTAACCTATTCAAAAATTCAATAATTTTTATATATTTTAAAATACATGTAATTGATTTCGAACAATTCGACAAAAAAGTAATATCTATTTTAACTTTGAAGTTCATGAACCATCGGTTTTTGATATTTTGGATATACATGTATCTAAAATAGTAAGATTTCAATATTGTCGAAATGTCGAAAGATAGATAAGTACTCATCAATATATTCTTTTGAATCATTTTTTTTGTCATTTACAAATTGGTACAATGTTTTTCCAAGCTACCATCACGTACTTGGTGTTCTCAAATACATGTACACATTTTTTTTAAAACGTTATATATTTGATCTTTATTTTATTGTTTTACTGCATATGCCATTCAATTAATTTTGTTTATCCGTTTTATAACACGTGATTTTTTATTTTCATTGTGCAGTGTCTTTCCATTGAAAAAAGCAATACCAAGTTAAAAACAAATCTTTTATGACCAAACATAAAAACAGTGGTATATGTGAGAGTTTGTGTGCGTACAAATTATCTGGTATGTAAATGAGGTTTTCCTTTTATTAAAAAAATATACTTCATTTTGTTGTTTTTAATCGCGATTTTACGAAAACATCTGTGTCCGTTTTTGGTTTTTACATTTATAACAGAGTACTAGATTTATCGCTTTTGGCAGGTGATACTGCTGATTTAGTAATAAATACGCATGTTTCCTAAAGTTTTTATGCATTAATGAACCAAGAAAATGTTCATGAAAAATTTGAATAAATTCTGTGCACCGGTAAAAAAGAAATTGCTAAAAATCCGGTACCGTCGGGCGTCGGGAAGACTAGATTTACCGCTTGCCGTCATTATGTAGCGTTGTCGTTCGTATCTCTTTCAGTGTATGACGCTACACTAAAAATGAGTTCCATTACGAAAAACTTTTGAGGTTCTTTATGATTTAGGTTTACTTTGAAAGAAATCTAATATTCAAAGTAAGATTACTTTATCATTACGTATACAGTACTTACATTATGAAAATTATATCAATTCAGGAGAAAATGACATGAACTATTTATGGCGGATGTTTATGCATGTTTTCTGTTGAATATCATCGGAGTAAATCGGTCGACACAGTAGCCTCGCTTTCGGCTCTATATAATCAACACAAATTACTGCGCATGTTAAATGCGTGATGACCATGGGAGATTGAACATAGTTCAACTCCCAAAAACTGAATTAATCTCATTATCATGTCATGTAAATTAGATATTTTTTTGTCTATAGTAAGTAATATATCCAAATATGAATCAAATTGATATGAAAGACTAAGTGGTGTCTTTTATGTAAAGTTCAGTGGTAAATCAACGTTGATATACTAGTATCCGACTGCCGAGTTGAAGGTCAAAGCAAGTGATTTCATTATCTAATGTAAAAGTCTTTTGCTACATGGGAATAAATAAAAACGGGTAACAATATTCTCTTTAAAAGGCTTAATATGTCAACTGCATTTTAGATGACGTTGGATTTAATTCTACAAATTGTTATCAAACTCAAAGTTTCCTTTCTAGGAAGAAATTTTTTAATTTGCCAATAATGCTTTAAAGATTAAAAAAGTTGTTAGAGCTCTTGAGTCGCAGAGTAAGGAGTTATCCTTACGTCATAGGTTCAAGTCCACTGTGGGATTCAGAGGCAGGTCCTTTGGATGAGACTGTATAAACCGATGTTCCTTGTCTCAGTACTTGTTGGCACACAAAAGATACCGCTCTGCCCATTGGTCCCTAGTGCCGATATAAGTATTAATTTGCAGCCCTCCAAAAGCAATTAAGGATGGCATCTCCGTACGAGTATGGGAGATTAAACAATCATCAAACAAACAAAGATACACAACAAAATTTTAAACCAAGTCTCTTTCTTTACACTTAGCAAAAAAGTAACAGCACAAAAGGAGAAACTTCAGGAATACTGTGCCAAACATATTTGAGATACATTTTTTTTTAAATTAAACCACAAGATATTACCTCGAAGAATAGCAAAAAAGAGACGACTTTTTGAAAACCTTATATAACCATTTCCTGCGATAAGATTAAGACCGTAAATTTGGAAATTCTAACTAATTGTCCTGTTATTGGCAGACATGAACCAGTTTTTTAAAACCAAACCTTCATGAAAAGATGAAGTCTCTTACTTGGTCTTCATTTAGACATAGATAAATCGACGACGTTTTATCAATCAACAGTAGTCGGTTGCGGTCCTATGTTGATTTAACGTAAATAAATAAGCTCAAAATAAATTATAATAATAAGAATACTTGGATACATTTTATGAAAAAGACATTGATGGCAAACTGACAACTTAACTTCAGGATAATTTCAACTTTTCTGTAAACAACTTCCCTCATTTATGAAGCAATATTCCGTTATCACCGACAGTTATTATTAGATAAAGTTGGAGATTATGCCAATCGGTTATTCTATTATTTTCATTATAAACTGGAGCAATGTCGGTTTAAAAGAGAAATTTGAAAATGTTACACGATAAAATGGTTATATGCACTTCAAATATGGTCCATATTGACCCTGAATTATACAGTGTTCAATATAGTTATTATATTATTTATGGAGTAATCGAGATTGGTTTTGCTGGTTTGCCAGTACATAATACTAGACAAACCAACAAAAACATACACTAACTACACTTTAACCAGAGACCTTTTGCTAAAGACAATTTAAAATGAAACAACATAAACAGTTATACATGTAACATCGGTACTTTATTTTAAAAAACAAAACGTCACCGGTTCAAACAATGCAAGTACTATAGCACCAAATAGTAAATTTTTAACCTCTTTTCATGACAAGTATAAAAACTAATTCGAATAAAGCATTAATCATTATAAAGCTTATCTTTGAAGACTTAAACCTTCATCAAAGACAGCCACAGTCAACATATGCAGTGTAATAATGGAGCACAAAAATGTTTGAACTAACAGGATATGACGTCATACATTGGAAACTGAAGTCGTTGGTGGAGTTTGCGGGGTATTTGGTGAACAAAGTCTTTTATACAAAACAGAATTAAAAATGAAAAATATCACTGGATTTGCTGCACTATTCAATGAACTTAAACTTTGAAAGAAAACAATCAAGGCGAAGAGAGTCTGAGACGGAGTCAGGTGTCCAAATGTCTGTAGAATGTTGAAAATCCAGTAGGGGGACCAGCAAAGTATGAAAGCTGTAAATAAAATTTCTAGAACTAAATTTACAATTAAAAGCAGGAAACAGAAATAAAATATTGATTATTTAAGAGTATTTTTCTGAAAATAAAATATTTTCAAAAATAAGTAGAGATAAGATGTACGGTTTCAATACTATTTTTACTGTTCGGAACGACTTTTGAATAGAAGTAGGGAGAGGAAATTCGCATACTTAAACATGTACTTGTTTTTTTTTTAATTATTGAATTATCTAAAAAGACAAAACTTTGCTTACCAGGAAGGGACGTTAAAATATACCACGTGTAAACAAATTACACGCGTATCATTAACTCTCATTTTATCAGGGTCTTTCGCAAAAGAAAGCACTTCAGTAAAATCATTGACTTCGACTGTTATTTAATTTAGACATAAAACGAACAAAAATAGAAACAAAAGACATTTCAATATTCAAAATTCTTTTTAAGAAAAGATGTTTATCGCCTGAAAGCATTCAAAATCTTACCTAAAACTATAACAAATGTCATTTTGACGGTCTTTATCTTGGCCTTTGGTATTAATCCTCTAGAACTAGAATCGCACGTTCTCTTCCAATGTACTCGTCTCTGTCGAGGCGGCTTTAGCAATGTTTTTTCTTCAGAAAAACTATCTACAAAAAGAATTGATTTCATAATTTTTTGTTTAACGTTCTTTGTTTAAGTACAGCTCCGTGTAAAAATCATGCAAAGGGTGATATATGAGGGTTCTCAGAATTTGATGATTTTCCACATATAGTTTTCCCTTGCACTATGAACCATGTATGTAAAATAAAAAAATGTTTTGGTTCATGGTTACTATGGAAACGTGGGTAAAGATTTAAACATTAAAAGGATAGAAAATCATAACAATTAAACAAAGTTATGTTTTAGCAAATACAGCATCGCACTTATTGCTCCTCCAAACTCATTTTAATTAATTTGCAATTTGTTTCCCCTCCCCTTCAATTTGAAAACTGCGAGATTCAACACTGAGAATATTGATAATACACCATACATGGCATGCATTACTTAAGGAAACATAGTTTTACCTTTAGTAATCACTGTCGATAATTCCATACAAGAATGATCACTTTTATTTTTTGAAGAGGAGATGGTAAACGAAGATTTTTTCCAGACGATTGTCACTATGGTAATGTAACATACTGCTATTATCAAAGCTGGAATGAATAGGATAGCCAGAGTCACCAGAATTACGTACAACTGAAAAGCAATGAGTAATAACGTTTTAAAATCATGTATTTACCGAGGAAACTAATAAGTATTTACTATAAAATCAAAGTATGCAGGTGTCAGATAAACGAAGAAAAATACAGTTATTGATATAATTAGAAAAGATATAATACATACTTTTCCCGATCTGTCAACAATACAGTAAGAAAATTCATAGAAAACGTTATAGATTTCACTTACTACTATGAAATCATTGTGAGGGTTTAATTTTCGTTGCTTTGAGGTATGGGGAAACACACGAACTTATGACACCACGAAATGTAAAATTTCATATGCATTACTACTTAACAGGAACATTTGACCCTATGAACATATGTTATTTTACAGTATTTACATTAACATTTAATTGAATCAAAATTATCATGAAATAAAAGTCAGTAGAAATTAAAATTCAATTTAAATGCTTTTAGTTCTTTGTTTCTCAATTTGAATAGAAAGGACTTTGTTTAGGTGTGTAATATTCTGAGTATACTGTTTTTCTGGATAACAATTTAAAGTGCAGATTTTGAAATATTTCATACTTTATCTTGTTTTATGCATATAAATTCATAATGATATAAAAGTATGAAAGGTTAGTTAACTTGTTAAGACTTGATTTATCAACCTAAGATCTGTAAAAGCTACCAAGCTTAATCAATTCGATAATTTACCAAGATATGTCTCCCGTTTTCAGTTCAACGAAACGTTAATTTAACAACGGGACGGTTCCAAATCTAAATACGTGAAAACAAATTAACTTTTACATCAACTTACTTTCCACATCCATTGTTCGGGAAATTGAAGGTGACATTGTTGTTTGGAATGAATTTCGACATCCTCATACATAAACATTGGTAAAGAAAAGAGCAAGGAGAATGCCCACTGAAGTCCTATGAGGAGTCGGATACGGAACCCTGGAAGAAATAAGTACATTATTTCTCTATGTTAGAGGTTTTGGCTCCAAGAAAAACCCTAAATGGGATCATAAAATAGATTAACATTTAACTTTAATATAAAGATATTTTGGCTGCATTCAACAAAGTCGAGGTGTTCAGGCAGTTAAAAATAATCTCAAACAAGATTTAAGTTGCATTGAGTGTTATTGAACCAAAATGATAATGTTGGACACAAAACTTAGATTTTCTTCATATTTTGACATGCATGAAATCAGATACATTAGACTGATGGCACGCAAAGTTTTTATTTAAGTACCAGTCCATATAAAAATCATGCAAAAGGTGATTCACTCAGGTTCTCAGAATTCAATGATTTTCCATACATAGATTTCTCTTGACCTATGATCCATGTACGTAAAATAAAAAATGTTTTGGATCATGGTTACTATGGAAACCTGATCAAAGTAATTTCCTTAGCAACCAGCCAATTTTTCTATTTGAACGCACTGAAAATCACTGATCTTTAAAGCCTGATATTATATATAAAAACTTTAACAATAATTCTCATTTAATGGTGTGATAAAGACACACACTTTATTTGTTTATTACACACAAGACATTGATTTTTTATCTGAAGCTAGTACTATGGTAGACATTAGGATATATGTATGTTTTTGCTTTTTTGCTGATTCAGCATTTTCCTTGATTTTGACAATATTCAAGGTCAATTTTAAAAAAATACCAAGCTAATACAGATTTTTCATGACTTTCACATAAAAGTAGAGAACTTTCTCTTTTACAGATTGACTTTGAAAGCGTGGGTTTTTTGAAAAATCCTATTCGTTGCCTAGCAACAAAATTGAATGTTTTGATAGCTAAAAAGTGAAAAATGGTAAAGGGTTGGGTCAAAATCTTATGAATTTTTATCTTTTTGTGGCAGATACAATTTTTCAAGTAAGAGAAAATAACTCTCATATAATTTTAAAAGGAAAGAATAATTTATAATCATTAATCTCCATGGCAACAGGAATTTTTCCCTAGCAACAATGCAAAAACAGTTATTTTTTGGCCTTTTTGGTATAGATTTTGATAGGTACGAATAGACATTTTTTCTTAAAAATGCGATTGGGCATCAATGTCAATTTAATATGGGTCTGATAAAGTTATTTTAGTACTTTATTGACCCATGGGTACAATTCTGAACACTTAACGACCACTTTGGTATCTACAATTTACTTTTACATTCAGGCATTTTTTTCGCTAAAATTTTAGGGCTGAAATGAGATCTTCCACAAAAGACGTTATAAATGAAAAAATAAGTAGCTTCAGATACAATATCATTATGTAACAAAACATTTGAATGGATGACAAGATTCCATAATCAAATTATACTTGGGTTGCCATGGCAACTTAATGCACAATGACCAGAAAGCAAACTATCTGTGACCAAAATATTTGAAATTCTAGCTTCCATTAATAATTACTAGTAATACTTTTGCTAGCATTGCAATAAGCAAGCACACAGAAAGCTTTAAAATTCATAATTTAAGAAACTATATATTTTTATGGTTACCATGAGTACGCTTTGAAGCTAGTGTTGCTTAGCAACTGCGTAATATAACCAAATTTTGAAATGTACTAATGTTTCGGGTAAAAAAATATTATCATTGAGATTAATTCATCATTTAAAAATTCTTAGTAAAAAAATTCTACAGCTTTACATTCTAGAAACATTTCATTGGTGTATAAATGCTTTTCTGTTAACATTTTGTTTGGTATCTGCCTGTCTGTTTGTCTGTAGACTTTTCACATTTGTATCTTATTAAGAACCATTTCACCATAACTTTCCAGAAGCGGAGTTCAAAGTTTAGCGTATGAATGTAGAGAAAATGTCTTTGTATTGTTTTTAAGTCTTCTTCTCGAGAACAGCAAAATCATGATTAGGCATAGAAGTATCCTCGGGTTATGGAGATTCAATGTTATTCAAATCATGACCCCTGTGGGTAGGGCAGAGCCACAACAGATGGTTAACGTATACAATTGGAATATATAGGAAATACATGTATCTTAAAAAAATCTTCTCAAGAACCGCTAAGCCATAATTAGACATATAGAGAAGTATCATCAGCAGGGGCGGATACAGGATTTGTGGTTAGGGGGGCGTGGATAACTTTGTTGAGGCAAGGGGTCTGGGGACGGCCTTAAGGCCATCAGTGGGTCCAGGGCGAAGCCCCTGGAAGCTCTTGGGTTTTCGTGTATTTAAAAGTAAAACCAGGCAAAATAATAGTGCATATTTTTCAATTATTTTTGTTAAAAGTGGCATACAGGTCCGGATGTTTGAATAATTGTATTGAATGTTTCTCAATTCTCATTGTATTGTAACACATGCCACTATAATAAACGATTTACTTACTTATTACTAACTAATAGTGGTATAAGTTAGTAAGGTACCAAAGTACGACGTCTTTAATACTAGTCATATCATACTTTGAATGGTGGGGGACCAGGGAGCGCAGCCCCTGGAAGCTCCTGGTTTTTTGTGTATTTTAAGAGTAAAACCAGGCAGAATAACAGTGGTTTGGTTAGTTTTGTACCAAAATGTGGTATTATAAATATAAGTCACATCACACTTTGAAAATTTGGGGGGGGGGGGGGGAGGGGGAGCGTGCGCCCTCACGCCCCCCTTAAATCCGCCAGTGATCAGATAGTGTAAAATCAAGTTTTTTTTTCAAAACATGACCCCTGGGGTTGGGCACAGACACAACAGGGGCCCAAATATCTTACTTCTTCTTTAGAACAGCAAAACCATTATAAGTCATATTAATACAGAAGTATCCTTACGTAGTGTAGATTTAATGACACCCGAGGTTAGTTCAGGGCCACAACAAGGGTTAAAGTTTACAAAAGAATATTGGGAAAAAGTATTTTGAAAATTCTTCCCCTCAAGAACAACAAAACTGTGATTAGTAATTTTGAAATGGAAGCATCTTCAGGTAGTGTAAATTCAAGTTTGTCTCCCGTAGACATTTCAAACTGATCTGATTTCTGTTCCTTCAAGGCAAAAGTGCTTGAATAATGTGGGCCTATTGGCTCCTTTTTCTACAAAATAATGCACTTCTCTCTCCTAAAAATGAAGAAATTACATGTAATATGAAATCAAAATGCATATTGAAAATTGACAGTTCATGAATAAATATCTTGACCATCGCTTTCAATAATAATCACACAAATGATTAGACGAATTGATTTTATATAATTATCAAATTAAGAAACAATCAAACATATATTTATGTTTCCTTTTACAAAGGTACAGAGAGTAATGTAGTGCATATTGAACTAATGTAGTTTTCTGGGGTAAAATATAGAAAAAAAATACAATTGTAAATATAAAACCTAACACCACCTGTTCAAAGGTTAACGTTTTTGAAGGTAGGACAAATTCCAGGGTCAAGGTCAAAGGGTCAAGGTTGTTGGTTTTTAAAAAAAAGGCCTTGTTCCAAAGATTACATTTATGGGAAGTATGAAAGTGCTGGCCCTTACCGTTCAAAAGTTATGGCCAAGGTTAAAGTTTGTAAAAAGTAGGTCAAAATCCAAGTCCAAGGTCAAAGGGTCAAAGTTGTTGATATCTAATAAAAGGTCTTGTTACAAGAATTACATATGTAAATTATGAAAGACCTAGCCCTTACTGTTCAAAAGTTATGTCTAAAGTTTTTTCGTAAGTATGGAAATGTCCAAGGTAAAAGTCAAAAGGTCAAAATTGTTGGTTTCAAATGAAAGATGTTGCCACAAAGAATTGATATTTGAAATATGAAATTTTTAGTACATGTATCTACCGTTTAAAAATTAGAGCCAAAGTAAAAGTTTGGATTTTTTGTGTAAAATAGGGTCAAACTCCAAGGTCAAGGATCTTGATATCAAATTATAGGTCTTGTCACAAGATATGAATACTGGAAATATGAAAGCCTTCGTTCTTACCTTTCAAAAATTATGTTCAAAGTTGTATTTGAAAAGTAGGTCAGACTCCAATGTCAAGGTCAAAGGGTCAAAGTTATCCAATGAGGCGCCTTATCACAAGGATAACATGCATTTATGTGAAGTATGAAAGCCCTTACTGTCCAAACGTTATGGCCAAGGTTAAAGTTTTTTCATAAGTACGGAAATCTCCAAGGTCAAAAGGTCAAAGTTGTTGGTACTCAATGAAAGGTCTTGCCACAAAAAATACATATGTAAAGTATAAAAGTCCTGGTATCTATTGTTCAAAAGATATGAACAAAGTAAAAGTTTGGAATTTTTGTGTAAAAGCAGGTCAAACTCCAAGGTCAAATTTGGTGGTACCCAAAGAAAGGTCTTATCAAGGAATACACATGTGAAATATGAAAGTCATAGCTCCACTAAATCAAACGTTATAGGCAAATTGCGGAAAAACAGACAGACAGACCTACGGGCACGAAAGAAACTATATGCCCCCCGAAACTTCGTTTATTCGTTTACGGGGTGTGGTGGGGGCATAAAAATGTATATAAAGTAACAGTTACTCAAATATCATTAGATATTCAGTTACTCAAATATCATTAAATATTCTTCTATATTAATTATCTTCAGTCTTTTCATTCAATTCTTAGTAATTATAATGCCAAGACTGAAGAGATCAGTCATTTCTAAAATTATAATAAATACTGTACCTAGTTTTTACTACCTCACTTGATCATTCAGGCAAGTTCAGAATTACTAGTATAACCTAGGCTATTTTTTTAGCTTGCTGGAAAGAGCCAAGAAGATGCAAGGACAAAATGGTAGGGCACTGGAATATTATAAACTAGGTGCCCATTTGTTCTATTGGTCTTTTATTTTTCACCCCATAACAGTAAAACACAGAATGCTTATATAGCAGAGTTATTGAGCTGTGTCATTGTCAAGTCCACTCAAGAATTCATTATTCTGAATGGAGACCACCACCAACCCCCTAAGTACCTTCTTATTAATAATTTATCAATTCAGCAAATTAAAGTTCCAGTGGTTCTGAAATCTACCTCTGTGTTTTATGATGGCTCCAGCGCTAACTCACCTCTCTCTTTAAAAGAATTTGTAAGTACTAGAAAAAAGTGATATGGTAATGTCTTTTTCCATTTCAGTCGCACGCGTGGCGCAGTCGTTAGAGCATCTGCTCTAGAGATGAAAAGTAAGGAGCTGATCCCTATGTCACGGGTTCGAATTCCACTGTGGGACGTGGAGACTGGTCCTTCGGATGAGACCGTATAAACCAAGGTCCCATGTCACAATAGGTGCCGGCACAAAAAAGATCCATCACTGCTCTTAAAAGGGCCGTAAATGCCGAGTACAGGATACAATTTGCACCTCTCCACCGGCAAGTGGTGGTGTCTCCTTAAAAATGAAAAATTCTCGAGATGCTCTTTCTCTCTCTCTCTCTGTTGCTCACCTCTCTCTCTCTCTCTCTCTCTATTGCTCTTTCTTTCTTAAAATAAAAAACATCATTCTGTTTCTTTTGAAATATGTATATAATGCTTTATGTTGTGTGAATAAAAAAAAAATCTCGAGAGGGACATTAAAAACATACTATCAATCAATCAATCTTCCATTTCAAAGTAAAGCGATTGATTACCAGATATTTTCAAAACCAATAGACATTTTCACAAAAAAAATGTCATAAATAAGTTTCAACCTTTAGAGAAATCTTAACGAGGTTTCACAAAAATTCGTAGATGTCCTTGCCTGTAAAATTTAACAAAGCTTTATGAGAGCCTTTATCTTGAACACAGAATAGTAGTTACAGAACTGTAGCTCTCTGCTTGAGAAAATTCGGACAGATGAAGCAGAGAGCCTCAGATCCTAGCGTTGTAAAAACCTTCGATTTACGCCGACGATTTTTTGTCGCTACTTCAGGTAATTTATTTTGTGTTGTTTTAACTTTCTCTGGCTTTTAGAATTGTATCCTATAATTGCGTGGACCCTGAGGTCCACGCAGTAAATATATAAGCGAGGCTAAACAGGATGCCATGGGCAAACGACAGGCTACGCATGCGCGAATATGCTAGAGAGTTCGCACCTTAGGCAACTTGCCCGTAGAATAATTCGCCCTATTCGAATTAGAATCAATGTCATGAATTGGCAAATCGTGCATATCGCATCTATATATTTAGGGTCAGATCCGAATTTTTTTCTTATACGTATACTTTTATTGATTCGACATGTTTTATGGCACAAGCATTTCACAAAGTAGGAAGAACTTGCCGTATATCAATACATGTAACTAACAACTTGAATGAAAAACGTCATTCAACGACTAGTTAAAGCTTTTAAAAGATAAAACAAGTTTTCACCGGCATTAATTTTGTGCATCAAGGCTCGCAAAATAATTTGATATTTCAGTCATCCAATTACCGTCTCATAGAGGTCGGTAGCAACTGTTTTTCATGGGGGGGGGCTCTGACAAAAAATCTGAGTACTACAGAGCTGTGCCACACGTGAACCATCAGATCTATTTTTACCATGATAGATTTCTTCCGTATAAATCGGAGATAAAATTAAAGAATTTTGCTTTGAGACTACAATCCATTGGCGTCGGAAGCAAATTGAAAGTGTGGGTGCTGGGGGCTATGTGTAAAAAAAAAACTACACCTTCAAAAAACCTGACAAGCAAAAAAACAAAAACAAAAACACAGGGAAATGTCATTTTCCCAAACACGAAAATCCTATTTCGAGGGGCGGGGGAGGGGGGGGGGGTCAGGTTCAGACTTTGAACAGTACCACCACTTTCCTCTTTTTTAACCTATACTGCGACTTGTCGGTGGAAAGTGGGGGGGGGCTAAACCTACGCAGCAATGTTCAATGTCTATACTAAGTATAAATTTGGAAAAAAGGGGGGCTAATCCTCCCCCATACCCCGGTTCCGACGCCTATGCAATCAGTCACAAGCTGGCAGATAACTGTATTTTTAAATATATTGAATTTCGGTTAGAAACACATGCATATGGTCCATGTATTGCAGTCCTTTTTAAAAGGACAGCAACTTGTTAATTATATATTTAACTCTTATTTTTTTTATAATTTATTAAAGTTTATATACCTTTTAACGGTCCGAAACAGTCATGTAAATAGTTTTGTAGTTTCATAGTTTGTCCGTTTAAAAGAGTTCCGTTTTGACGTCCGTAACCAAAAACAGCCATTTGTTAGCGTTGAATGGTAAGTAAATTATCAAGAATTTAAGTTTAATGTATGATTATAATTATAAAATACCTTTTTAAAGCTGAGGGAATTATAAAATAGAAGAAAAAATACCCGACGTGAGCGACAAAAAATCGTCGGCGTAAATCGAAGGTTTTTACAACGCTTGGATCTGTAGCTCTCTGCTTTATCTGTCCGAATTTTCTCAAGCAGAGAGCTACAGTTCTGCAGGTAATAGAATAGTACCTAAGCTACATTAAATCAATATCACGTTATTATATCCATGGTAATCATAAAAAATATACTTTATGTAGAAAAACGAATGCTAAAGGTGCTTGAATAACCAGTTAGTTTAGCCCATTAAGCAAAAACTGGGGGCCAAGTACAGCTGTAGTGTACTTTGCAAACAAAAAGTTTTTTTGGCCAGTGTGCAACTTATTACCATGGCAACCCAAGAATTAGTTACTCTATGAAATCTTTTCATCAACAGAGGTATTTTGATATATACTACTTGTATCTATTTGTTTCTATTTTTCATTCAGAAGGCCTTTTTTGGAAACTATTATTTCAACTTCAAAAATAAATGACTGTATGTAAAAAGGTAAAGTGGTTACAACATTGCAATTGGTTGCTAGGTTGTCAGAAATGTTGCCATGGGTTAATAATGTAAAATTTACTTATTTCAAACCCATATTAAATTGACAATTTGCCTGATTACAATTTTGAAAATAATTGTCGATTTATTTCTAATATAATTTTTTAAAAGGGCGAAAATATAACTGTTTTTGCATTGTTGCTAGGGAAAAATTTCTGTTGCTATGGAGATTAATGATTATAAATTATTCTTTCCTTTTAAAATTATATGAGAGTTATTTTCTCTTACTTGAAAAATTGTATCTGCCACAAAAAGATAAAAATTCATAAGATTTTGACCCAACCCTTTACCATTTTTCACTTTTTAGTTATCAAAACATCCAATTTTGTTGCTAGGCAACGAATAGGATTTTTCAAAAAACCCACGCTTTCAAAGTCAATCTGTAAAAGAGAAAGTTCTCTACTTTTATGTGAAAGTCATGCAAAATATGTATTAGCTTGGTATTTTTTTTAAATTGACCTTGAATATTGTCAAAATCAAGGAAAATGCTGAATCAGCAAAAAAGCAAACACATACATATATCCTGATGTCTACCATAGTACTAGCTTCAGATAAAAAATCAATGTCTTGTGTGTAATAAACAAATAAAGTGTGTGTCTTTATCATACCAGTAAATGAGAATTATTGTTAAAGTTTTTATATATAATTTCAGGCTTTAAATATCAGCGATTTTCAGTGTCTTCAAATAGAAAAATTGGCTGGTTGCTAAGGAAATTACTTTGATCAGGTTTCCATAGTAACCATGATCCAAAACATTTTTTATTTTACAAACATGGATCATAGGCCAAGAGAAATCTATGTGTGGAAAATCATTGAATTCTGAGAACCTGAGTGTATCACTCAAATATCACTTTTGCATGATTTTTACACGGACTGGTACTTAAGGAAATTTTATGTCATTGTGGACTGCTGGCATGTTAGAAACAAAACAAATTCAAACAATGATTCTTTTTTTTTTCACTTTTAAAATGTCTTTAAAATACCTTTGACATGTTAGTGACAGAAACAACACAATCTCAATTATTCTTTTTTAAAATGTCAGTTTTTAAATGCCTTTAAAATAACATTGAAAGATACCATGTTCGACATAAAAATATCATTGAAAATCTATGAGCTTTTTATTCCATTTCAAAAGACGTAACCTTTTCCCATGGTTTGAAGCGGTCTTGCTACACAATCAAGCCTGTCAATACTAAGCGCCACCAGAGCGTACGTGGATCCATAAGATGCCACTCCCTGATAGAATCTGACTGCTTTACACAATACATCACCGCCATGCCAATCCACGAAGAACTTCTCTAAGACATCGATTAGCACAGAGAATCCTACCAGTACATCTGAATAATGAAAACATATTTTTTTCTAGAATTGTAATTACAATAACTTGACCATTTCATATCATCATACCTTAATTTGGCACCTTAAGCAATCGTAAATGATTCTTACTATTGTAAAATTATCAGTTTGCAAATCGATATTTTTAACAAATAAAGCGAACTTTATTGAAATAAGTAATATTATGGTCAGAAGTATTATATAACTTTAAAGAATCTATATATATATAAAACAGAAATAGCAATTGAATTACTCCTTATCTTAGTAACCTTACCTTAAATCTAATCGAACGATTTTGAAGGTTTATTACTACAAAAGTATGGGGGTTGTAAAAGAACATTATCCCTCGGGTATTTTATAATTAATAAACTTCACTTTTGATCCTCTGCATCCAGACAAGAGCTCGAATATCAGAGACGTCTTACATTTTAACTCCTAAAGGTTTGCCTGAGAAAATTATAGCCTTGGGCAATCATTACTGTTGAATTAATGAATTCCTACTTTTAACTAAAGCTATTTTAACTTTTTATTACCACAATTTCAATCAGTTTTTCGTGAAGCCGATCTTTAAGTGTAGATTTCATGAAAGCTTTTACTTGGATCAAAAAGATTTTGTGTACTTTCGAAACAAACAACTAATCTTTTCGATCATGCTTTGATCACAGTTTCCACAATTTACATTAAATATATCTTGAAATTTTAACAGATGGAACATGTTTTTTCAACTATAAATTGAATTATATGTTTTTATGAAACTCAAAACAGCAGTAATATATCATATATATTTTTTTATCATCAGATGAATATTTCAAATAGTCTTATATAAAGAAACGGATATTAATAAAGCTCATTGAAAAAAGCAGAGCAAACAAGAAGCTTTTAATTAAAACATCAGAGGTGGGATAAAGTGCCATGGAGTAGGAAGCATCCCCTGTCAACTTAACCGGCCATACCCACCGCATACCATTTGTTCTGATCGGGCAACCAGATAAAACTCGTACACAAGTCAGTGTTTTAATAATGTCCTAACAAAAAGTATGAAAAATTGCAGTCAACATTTGAAAAGCTATAGAATATAGTAGCTAACAAAGTGATTGAATCAACCATACAGCTTGCTAAATGTTGATTTTCAGCAAGACTGTTTTTATTCCTATTTCATCAATCTGTATGTAAATAGCTTGTCTCGTCTTTTTTTTTTTTTTTTTTTTTTAGATAATGTCCACATGTTATGGAATGCCATATACGACAGCCAACTGCTTACTGCCAACTGCTAACTGCTTACTGCCAACTGTCAGCTGCTTACTGCCAACTGCCACATATATTTGAATAAATTTTATGTTTATATTGACATTTATATGAATTTTCAAAAAGAAGAAAAAAACCAGGCGCGGATCCAGGACATTTTTTCCAAGAGGTCACCCAGCATGGTAAAATTAATGACCATTATGTTTTAATTTATGTAATATTTAATATATGCCATTGATAAAGTGCATTGTTTATTTCTATTTTCTTATTTGAAATAGGTAATAAAATGATTATATATTTTTTGCTTTTAATCTTTAAAGAAGTAACCCCCCCCCCCCGGAAACAACAAAACCCTTGAAGAGAGAAAATTTTATATAAAAAAAAAAAAAAATTGTCGTTTCGCAGATAAAGATGTTTTGAAAATAAATTTACATTTTTCATTATATTCTATAGTTAAAAATTTCCTCAAATTAAAGATGTATATCTCTGTGTGTTATAATGTTTCACATTCAAAGATCTTGGGGATGGGGTGGGGAATTTAAAATGTGTACAGTCATGGGTTAATGTATAAACTAAACGAACTAAAACTGACCATGGACCCTCCACTTAGAAAACGCCGATCAAACATTTATATCTCTTTGTTTTTACAAATAAGATATATTTTACATGCATAGATCTAGATCTAGAGAGACAGGTCCGGACCACCCTCTGAAAATTGTAAAGTTATTTAATGCACAAACTAAACCAACTAAAAGTTATTCAATGTATAAAATAAATCAACTAAAAGGGACCTAAGAAACCCCCCCCCTCCCCACCCGAAAACGCGGATTTGTGTTAAGTTGGTATAATAAAATGTCAGAGACATGAAGGTATGACGCATGAGAACCCCCCTCTCCCCGGCCGAAATAAATTTTCACATTAAGGAAAGGACTTTACGTTTTTTTTCTTGTCAAGAAATTCTGGGTTGGATTTTCTTTAACATGAGTGACCCTCTTGGAAAAAATGTCCTGGATCCGCGCCTGTTTTTTCTTTTTTTTTTTAAATTCACATAAATATCAATATAAAAATAAGATTTATTCAAATATGTGTGGCAGTTAGCAGTAAGCAGCTGACAGTTGGCTGTAAGCAGTCAGCAGTTGGCAGTAAGCAGTTGGCTGTCGTATATGGCATTCCATAGGCATGTAGAGCACGCTTTTATATATTGAATCAACAATGAGACATAAACTGCATATGCAGTTGACAAATGTACATTGTTAATTAACATAGGAAGTTAATCATAGAATATTGAATCATCAAGTTTATTACAAAATTTTGATTCGCCGAAATATGGCTGAAATATTGCCGACTCGGCGTTAAACACTATACAATCAATCAATCAAAATTTTGTTGCTTGGTTACTATTGACGATTTTTCTAGTTAAATATTCAAATATAAATGAGGCGTGGTTCACTCTTTAATAAATGACATTGAAGTTAAAGACACAAGATAATTACAAACAAATGATTAAAAAAATTACCTGAGAAAGAACAATTTCCTAACTCTGTCTGAACTGAGACATTATATCTGAGTAGCGCACAACGTATAACGTATATAAATTAATATAAAAGTAGAAATAATAACCTGCCAATGCCAAGTTTGCCATGAAAATATTCATTCTTGATCTGAGCTTTCTGGTCCGGATGATGACAATAAGAACCATGGAGTTTCCACTTAGGATGAACAGAAAGAGGACGCAGAGGAACACTCTCTGTTCTGTCTGAAATAAAAACATTTTAGTAGTGAAAGATACGTAAAATATATTTCAATTATAAAGGGCCATCATCCCTCGGCTCCCTGGTGCTAATTTTTTTTTTTACAGCTTATGATTATAAAAAGAAATTGTATACATAATACATAACAAATTCATAGTCATACATGTACCTTTGGAGCAAAATTTAATAAAAGATATATGAAAATTTTATAACAGAATAATGGTCATTTACTTCATTAGGTATTACCTCTTATCAGAGTATCGATTGACATTGATATGAAATAATTGCTCTTTTAAAACTTTTTATTTGAATTCTTTCTGTCTAATTTATCTTTGCTCATGAAGTGCTCTTGACATGCTTTATTCTAAACTGTTTATCTTTGCAGACAGAAAGCACTAGGAAAGCAAAGATTAATGAAAAAAGATCCAAGTACTATCTACTGACGTTCTAATAACTTGAACAGTCTGCAAGAATTCCGTTCAGAATGGATGAATGGGTAATGAAGAACCGCAATTTGAACAGACCTGATAAGAATCACTATAAATGATCATCACGTTTTATGTCCATTATTGCAAAAGGCCGCATCCTCCTAATTCGCATCAAGATACTACTATGCCAATAGTTAATCCATTTGATTGAGGAGTCGTAAAATAACTGTAAATTGTCATCAATCTTGTGGCATTGATGAGGATTTTAGACGTATAATTTTCAGGAAAAGGATTATTTGACGATTTTTTCCCCATAATTTCAATGTAATTGGGTTAATATATAGAATGAACATTATTTTTATCGATTAATTTAACTCGGACCCTTGGAGTTTGAATTATTAATTATTATTATTAATGAATCTAAAATACAATACATATGTGTATTTCTTGCAGTCAACTTGTTAGAAGTTGTCAAGTTCACAGGTGGATAAATTTTGATATTATATGTAATTGTATTCGAATATTTTATATCTACGTATACAGTGTAGTAGTGGAAAACTATTAATTACATGTACACCAATTCAGTAGTATGTCTTGACCCTATACAAATTTTAAGTTCAATTGGAACAAAATCGATACCATCAAAGCTTACATGTAGATGAAACATAGTAGATACATGTAGCAATCACTAGTCTAGGAGAAACATAAAACAAGTAATGCAATTTGTTCTTCATATAAATGTTATTAATAGATTACAATAACTTTGAACAAATACTCCTATATCATATAATCTGGTTGCTCTGCTGAAGGTTTTAGACCCTTCTTTGTAAGCAATATACTAGTATATCACGGTATTTCTGACAGTCCTGCGGAATAAATAAATGAACCAATGATAGAAGTAATAACGTTTGCATATGTCTGAACTTTTTTCCAGTGCTTTTATTTAATTATCCATCTTTGTTAAGCGAATACATCTTGTTATCATTTTTTCCTTTCTTAAAGACGATTTATACATTATACTGCTGCATTTGTTAAATAAAAGACGTATACTAGAGAATCAATGCAATGCAAGCCGTCCATAGCATGTAAAATGGTTCTCACATCAAATTAATAGTTTTAAGTCTGTCGCTAAGATTAATGTGAATTATTCATAGAGCTCTACGTTATCGTATGAAAAATAATAATAATACATGAACATGCTCTCTACAACAATCTTAAATATGAGAGGAAGAAAAGCCTTGTTGTGCCTTCTTTTCGACATTTATATATATCGACGACGCATAATCAATAAACAGATATATTATGTCAAGTCGATATACAATTGTATCCCAGTGAGCTTAAAATTAAAGATACCACAGAGTCTAACACATCTGTTTCATATTTGGATGCTTTTTTAATGAAAAAGACGTTAATGGTATACTTGATGATTTCACCTTTTCAATCTTTCTCATGTACATGCATATGGAGTTTATGTTTCTCAGTTCTACGTGAGAACAATTTCTAAATCGAGACAAGCTATTGACGAACATGTTGATGAAACAAGATCTAGAATATGAACAGAGTCGTTTTAATTCGTCATTTCACAAGTTTTTTGGTCGATACATTGCCATTGTCAGCAAATACAGTCTACATGTATTATCAAATCAAATGTTGAAGACTATTTTCATGCTAAAATTCACAAAAACAACTTTTCACCCGTGTTATTACTTTCAATGTTTTGGATTCAATTGACTTGGCTGGTCAAAGAGTTTCTTTAAAAAAAATCATATATTTCATATAACATTGTCTTGCCCCGATAACCTTCAGCTCTCCAAGCTGTTTCAAACTTTACCGTTTGTGGAAATTATGCTGCTTTTGCAGACTGCTTTAGGTTCAACGTTACCCATTGCATTCAATAGTGTTAGGTTGTTGATAGATCGCTATCTTTATTGCAGAGTATCAATGGTTAATGAAAATAAAAAGGATATCCTTTGTTTTAAAGCAATATGAGCTGCATTTTTTGGAAATTCTATTTTGTTGTTAAAATGTGTTATTATGATAAATTGATATGTAACTTAAACGTTAATAATCAATCAAACTAAAATAAAGCAGGATAAAGACTTCTATATACATGTACAATTAAACATACAGTTTTATATAAGAAATCATTATTGTACAGGACGACAATAATGCGATTTTGATTCAATCGAAGCTTAAAAATAATTCTCCCATCGCAAATATGAACAACAGAAATTTATTAATATTACTTTTTTGGTCATTGAAAAAGTTATTTACAATTTTGCAACAAAAAATTCTGACTTCAAAGTTGCAGCTCATATTGCTTTAAAAAACCCTACCAAAGAAGGTGGACAACATGTTACACATATGTAATATAAAGTTATCGACTGAAGAAGGTTAATTTTTTACCCAATTTACTGGGTTCAGTCATATGCCACTTTTATTTAATACCGGTGAATAAAGTTTGACAATAGCACACTATACTTAATTTAATTTCATCCAAGGCTTGCAAACTTATATCACAAAGACAGATTTTTGTGACAAACAGACTGACAGATAGACAATTATGCTAACACAATTGTGTCTTTTTCTTATTGGAAAGAAATGATGAGTCAGACAGTTTCATAAATGTTTACTATCGATTGACTCAGTGCGTCAAAAGAAAAATAAAATGTACCTCATATCTGTAGATTTTGAGCTTTTAGTTATAAATTGACGAAAACCCAGATTTTAAAAAAAAAACAACTTTAAGGTTTAACCTATTTTGACATAAGTAACTAATTGCAATCTTTTGACCTTCACATACTAAAAAGACTATTCTACCAAGTCCTTTTGCTATTAGGTTAAAACTTTCTTAATGGACAATTTGACATATAGTTTTTGACTAAAATTGTACCTTCAGGGTTTCTAAAATGTCAGAGACAATGACATCTTTCCATTTGGTGTCTGATTGACAACGGTAAAGTACAGAGTTGTTTAAGATTAAAGCGACAACGCAGCTAGGTTAAGGCCGCCCATAGGAAATAAGCCTTAAAATATTCCGAAAAAATCAATATAATATTAATATTCTTTTTTATTAGCATTAGTTTTAATTTAATGTGAACTATACTAATGCATATGTATGTATGGGGTCTCAACCGAGCTCGGACAACGCGACTTCATGTACATCAGCTGTTTGTCACGTGACATGTTTAAAATTAGAAAAAATATGTACGGATACAAAGATCGTAAAAGTTCAACGGTATACGGATATTTTTTCACTATGAAATTGATTGTGTTTTATTTAAGACAAATTTCTTAACCCGAAAAGTGCTGGGAGCAACTTCTCACTTCCCGGGAATTATATAAAATTTAGCCGACTTTTGATAAAGTATGTGCATTTACACTATACGCATTGAAGAAATGTAAAACTACGGAAAAAAAGACAGCGCACAACTTGCTCCCAGCACTTTTCAAAATAGTAGGGACAGTATCTACATGTGTATAAAATATTATAATTTATAATCAAGCGGATATCGTTGAACGTTGATTTTGGAGGGGTTGTACATATGATTGAGTGTACGTTTCTATATAAAAGTGCATGACTGCGGCTTTATAAGAGACCTAATAGTTATCAATTAAATAAGACTGTGAACTATTGATTAATGCATTCAAAAATATGAATCAATTGTTGTCAGATCACGCTTATATAGATTTAATTATCATATTTTCAGTTCCACTAATAGCTTTATCTGCGTCTCAAGTACAGAGAAACTGCGTGTCATACTAGCCTATGACGTCATATCTGTTAGTACAGCGAGATCAAGTTGGTTTTGATTTTACATTCGATTAGTGTTCTACTGACAAGATAAGTTACACATTGATTAATAAATACAATAATCATGAGAAATCAAAGTATGTAAGAGTATATGAAAAAGAAAATTATTATTTATTCGCCGAGATTCATTTGTACAATTTCACCGTGACGTCATAATCGAATTCCCGAGGCTCTGCATACGCTGTTCTACCTTTGGGTAGCCCTTAACCTAGTTGCGAAGGAATACTTGCAGTAAAACAAATTTCAATCATATGTGCATAAAAGAGCACAATTAATTGAATGATTGACCTTTAAATAGGCATTGAATTGAGCAGTTGGAAAATGCAGTAAATAGAAATGTTTAGATTCCCTCAATTGTTCTCGAAAGCAAGAATGTAAATTTTCTTGTATTTTTTCTTTTCTGAAATAAATAGGCCACAGACTTGCAGTTTTTCATTTACCTTTCGCGAGTAGATACATCTTTTGAGCTTGATATAATTTTTTAAAATGATTGCTTCGATAAAATATTTTGAAAAATAAAAATATAGATACATTTACAATATCAAAAAAAAAACCCAGATCACTGGATGTGACAAAGAGTCAACTTAAAGAGACAGCGTGAAGCATAAAGGGGGAAATTAACAAACGAAGAATTTTTGCATGCCCCTTGTAAATTTTGTTCAATTTCTGAAAGTATAAGGTTTCAGAATATTACAGGTTTCAGAACCTAAATATCTATTTTTATGGTAAAAATAAGTAAAAATAAATTCAGTATGTCCCATAA